TTTGGTGTTCAGGCGAAGTCCTCGGTGATTTCAGCCTGAGATCTGCAACCAGTCAGATGCCTGACTGGCTTTAGTGGTCTGGTGGACCAAGTGATCGTCGATCCTGAGGTTTTGTGAAATAGCGTTGTCTAGAAATGCAAGTGGCGACTTGGGCCCACTGATGGCGATGTGAGGTTTGTAGGGGTACAAACATTGTTTGCACTCGGAGCCGTATCATGTAAGTCTTGGTTGGTCTTATAGCACTACAATCATCAGGTCGAATGCTAAGTTATAGGGCAATGGCAGAAGGCACCTCTGGGAGGGATTTATTGTGCACAGAACCCTGTATTGCTGTCTCAGGCAGCAGCGGCCACTGGAAAAGCCAGGGCTGGTGTTGACTGAGTCCAGTCAGGCCCGAGAGTATGTCTGATTGTGTGTCAGAGTGTGCTTTGAGATGATGGTATTCGCTCTTAGATTATCGTGGATCGATTTTGAGGGGTTTGCTATTGGTGTGTTGCATTGCCCAAAGGGGGTGTCGCCTGTAGAAGCCCATGCTGCATTATCTGAGGAGGGGGGGGCGTTCTGGTGGCACTCTAGAAAACGCGTATGGTTGGGCGCGCGCGTGTACGCGCGCAACAAAATCACCGCCACCAATATTTTCATGGAAAGCTGAAATATCTCCTCACAAAGTAGGCTTCTTTTTGGTATCCTTCAAAAGCCACAAAACCGAAACAATGGCTAGTTATTTAATAGGTATTTTTTCCGTTAATTTTCGACGCCCTTAAAAAGTTCAGTGGATTTCAGAGAACTCATGGCAGCTTTCCAAAACACAGGTAGTGGCTAATCCCGTCACTTCAAATAATCTAGTAAAACGCAGGGTATATATAGTCTTAAAAATAGCGTCCCGATTTCCGAATGGACTTAAGCCGGATCTATCATTGAATTTGATTTTAGAGTTTTCAGTCAACGAGTGGTATGCCTTTCGTGTAAGGAATAGCATACATTTTGCTGTGTTGTTATTACTCTAGTGAGGTAGTAGTAATGAAATTGCGATTCCCAATTGGTCTATCGAAATAATCGAGACATTCACCAGGGGATGTTAGTGCGAACGACCAACAATGCTGCCACAATTCGTTCTCCATGGCCCACTGCCCCAAAGTCATGCATCGTCACAGGCGGCTGTTACCAACTTGCTGACATTAAAACGCTTGACCGACATTCATTCGCACACACGCGTGCGCACGCAGGCGCTCACAAGCGCGTGTCCAACTACTTGCAGTTTTTCAAGGGCCGCATGAAAACGCCAAGCCATAGGTACGCAGAGGAGGGACTCTAAACGTGACAACCACCTCGGACAATGCAACATATCAATAGCAAACCACTTGAACTCGCTTCGCAGTCATGTAAAAGCAGTTGACATCATCACCTCGCACACTGGGTCCAGTCAGGCCCGAGAGTGTGCCTGTGTTTCACTGTGTGTAAGATGGCAGTGGCAGCTGCTTTTACATGATTGTAGAGCAACTTCAGGTGGTGTGTGATTTGTGTGTTACATTGCCCGAGAGGGTGTCGTGACCCCCGCTGCGTTAGCCGAGGTGTGATGTGTTTAAGTGGCGTTGAGGCAGCTGTGGTCATTTGGGCAGGTGTATGCGAGTAGAACTCAGCCTGCGAGAATGAATGACGTTGAAGCAACATTGTTGGCTGTCCGCCACAGATTACTACAATCATCAAGCCGAATGCCGGGTTGTCGGAAAAGACAGACGGCATCAGAATGAGGGATTTTTTTGTGTACAGAACCCTGAGTTGCTGTCTCGGAAAGCAGTAGCCGCCGACGAAGCGTCCAGCCTG